TTCCCATTCAGTAACCGGAGCTGTTAGGGCCTCGTTATCTGTTTGGGTAATTGTGGATGATACTTCAGAGAGGGCCTCCTCTATTGCCTCTGGATTTGATGATTGAAAGATGTGTCTGAAATAATTTGTAGCAATGGCTACCAAACCTTCCTCATCCTCCACAACATTTCCATCTTCATCTATTAATTGGGTTATTCGATTCCTAGCTCGCCTTTGTTTTGTAAGGGCGTGAAAGAATTTAGTATTCCTATCACCCTCTCTAAGCCAGAATACCCTGCACTTTTGCTTCCAGAATAACTCTTCCGCCTTAAGAGCGTCAGATAACTCCTTAAGAGCTACTGCAATTTCCTCAGTAGTAGCATCGTCATTTGAGGATAAGCGATCCACCTTCTCCTTAAGCTCCTCCACTGTCTTCTCCGAATTCAGATTATGTTGCTTTTTCCAGTCACTAAGTGCTCTCCGGCAACTCGTGATATGCTCCATAATACTTGCTCCTGGTGGGAGATCTGGTGATTTCCAGCCTTCAAGTATTATTTGTCTGAGCTCGTCGTTGTCCAACCACCTTTTATCGAATTTGAAATTCCGATTTCTCCTCGGCTTCTTCCTGAGGATATCAGCTAGAATCGGACGATGATCCGACCCCCAGAGTCTCATATACTGGACTTTAGAGTGAGGAAATTTTTCGTGCCAGTTCTCATTCCCCACAGCCCTATCAAGGCGGCATCTAACTGTCGTTCTCCCTGCTCTGTTTCCCACCCAAGATAACATATTCCCTGTGAAGGGAAACTCCAGCATGCCACAATCACTTAACATTTGTCGAAAAGGCAAGAAGGAGCTATCAGAACGTAGTCTGCCTCCTTCCTTCTCTGCGTGGCATGTAATCTCATTAAAGTCCCCTATCATGAACCAAGGTCCATCTCTTGTTGTGGAAAAACGCGTAAGACGTTCCCAAACTAAATCTCGTCTTTCAATGACAGGATCCCCATAAACAAATGTCATGTAGACTTTTATTCCATCAATGACTGCCTCAATGTCAATCATTCTGTTATTTGAAAATAAAACATTAACTTGAAATTCATCCATAAAAAATAAAGCTAAACCACCGCTGAGTCCAAGTGGCTCAACGGTAAACAAACGATCAAATCCTAAGTCGGCCTGAATGTCTTGCAACAGCAGCCTTCTGTTCTTCGTCTCAGATAGAAACACAAATCCTGGGCGATGTTTCTGACACATCTCCGTAAGGCGTCGAACTGTGAGGTCGCTTCCAATCCCTCGACAGTTCCAACTGAGTGTCCTCATGGATGAAGGTGGGATGAGTTTTTGGAACCCATCGAAACCTCATGTGATGTAGTCGCATCTCGAATCCTAAGCGGCCCTTGCCTAGGGCGCTGTCTAGAACCTCCAGCTTCCCTGGAGCTGGACTTTGATCGTTTACTTGGAGAACCCCTACGGAGGAACTCAAACTTCTTGGACTGAATGCCCAAAGGGACATTAATCTCTCCACCATGACGTCTACTGCGAGCAGACGTGCTTCCTGCTTTTACTTTCCTGGTCTCATTGCACTCCGAGTGTGAGTCGATGTTATTTTCCTCAGCCTCCCTTAACTCCTCACCGAGAAGATCATCTTCATCATTAAGATCATCTTCATTAAGCCCTCCTACGGTTTGCTCCTCCTCCATCATGTCAGCTCCCTGATTATCCAAAATATCCATATCATTAAGAGCGTCAATCATTTGCTCATCTCCATCAAGATCCTGGCCGTCATCATGCGTGAAGCATAAAGACTTAGTAACCCCCTTATCCCTGGTTGTTACATATCTCTTCAAGATTGAATCATCGGCTGTTGGTGTAACAATCTTACTCGCCAAGCGTTTTGTGATGGCCACAGTACCAATAGGAGTACTCTTTCGCGAAGCATCCTCCTCGTCAGTGGTTAGGCCGACGTGAGATGCAGGTAACGAAGCATGATCAACAGCTCCACTTATGGTGCTATGCTGTCGTGTTGCATATGTCTGGTACTTAGATATATGTTGAACCGCAGACGAGCAAAGATCACCATCAATTACAGTCGCTTTAGGTCGCCAATGTTGTTCACTTCTCCGATCACTTCCCCGGTCATATGGACCTGAAGGATGTCGCTTTCGGTCATTAGACGAGCCATTGTATCGAGCATTGCGTCTCATTACTCTGTCTGAACGCCCCTGCCCACGACTATGCTCAGCCACAGGCTGGTATCGCACTTGTCGATCTTGTCCGGATGGGATAGCGAGCGCACGGCTGGAGGTACGGTGCGCACTGCGAGAGGCAGGCTGACGAGCCAAGCAAGAGCTGTTTGAGGGACTCTGAACTCGGGAAAACACTCCCCCAGCACGTTCCATGGGTGGTTGTAGTCTAGATTGAATATCACGTGTTGGGCAATAAGCCTTTTCATGAGACATCAATCCACAAGTCTCGCAATGCTTAAAGAGCTTATCATACGCAATTGTGATGGTGAATTCATCCCCCTCCGACGTTTGTACTTTCCTTGAGAATTTCAGTGGCTTCCGGGAGTCTATTTCGATGAGCATACGTCCCTCAGATAACTCCAAAGTGTCCACATAGCCAAGCCTATCTCCGACTTCCCGTAAGTTTCGATCAGTCCATAAGTGTAATGGGAATCCAGTAATCTGAACCCAAAATGGGATTACCCATGGATAATCATCATGAACAACCGGTGTCCATCGAACCAATACGAACATACAGAAATTGTAATGAAAAGGACCCTGTCGAAGAACAGAGTTTAAGTCCTCCTCCGAGGTAAAGTTCAAGAGGAACTTTCCATTCCCCAGATCATTAGCAACGATTTTATCTTCCATTCCCCACTGTCCAGGCATCGTCTGAATAAGCTTCTCGACCTTTTGTTTGCGAGGGTTGAGTATCTTTCCGATCAATGAAAGACGGAAATCTTTGATCACATTAGCGTCCTCATGAACCGTGAGCCTTATGGGCTCGTCATCATCATCATCGAGTCTACGCTTTCCTCTTCGATCTCCTTGATAATCCGGAGGATATCTAGTCGAGACCATAGCTTACGTAGATCCCCGAAGTTGCAGAGATGGAAACAAGCGACACACCAGGACAAGCAATCCGTGGTTGTAATGCAGCGTGTCCAAACGAAAACAAACGATCCCCGAAGTTGCAGATATGAATCTCGAAACGTGGAACAACGTAAGCAACCGTAACCCGAAAAACTCAGGAACGCTGGATACAAAGATATCACAGTGTCCTTATCGAGCAAAGACGATGTCCTTTCCACAGAAGTCCAACGCCGCCGTGTCTGTGAAGAGATCAAACACGGATCAGAGATCGAGAAATGGCTCCTGAGATTTACACCGTCGCCGCCGTCGTGAAGAGAGGATCAAACACGGGGACAAGCCAGAGAACCACGCCAGTGACAGAAACAACAAAGGTTGATCCACCGGCGAAGGTTTAAGAACCGTCGGCCAACAAGGGTTAGCCAACACCGAACGCTCCCTCCCCTACGTGATCCACCGTCAGCAATGGATGTCGATCAAAGCTTCAAACTCTCGTGGGTTGTCTTGCACTCCTTGTCGCCTTCTCCATCGCCGTCAGAGAATTAGGGTTAACTTCTCCTTGTCCCCTATGTTCCTTTATCGCCCAATAACCGTTAAGAACCGACATTTTTTCTTTTTGATATCCCTTATATTATTTGAGAAACATTTCGAGAGATTGTATATCCCTTATAATAGTTAATCATGTTGAATAATAAAAATTGGATGATATTTTTTTATATCTGTTCTCATTTTTAATGTTATCTTACCAAAATATATTAAAAAATCATATTATAATAAAATATAGATTTTCGTATATGTTATATTTTAAATTTTTTAAAAAATTAATAAATTACTAAAACTGTTTAAAAGTACTACACTGAAAATATTTGTGATCAATGCTTTAAATTTTTTATAAAAATATATAAATGATCATAAATGATTTGAGTATAATTTTTCATTTAATAAATTTTCGAATTAAAGATGTATATATATATATATTGTAATTTTAATATCGTTTAAATTAAATTGTATATCATCTTAGAAACCCATAACTATTTTAATTTAATTTCTTAGAAGTTTACAATTAATCAAATCACTAAAGCATATTTGAATATCTTCTGTTGTTATTTAAAAAAATATTAATTGTTTTAATAAATATTTTATAAAATGTATCGTTCTATGTAGGACGCGAGTTATTATCTAGTGATGTTATGTATTATGAGATGAAACAAAATTTAGTGTTTACCACTATTCATTTATGGAACAAAAAACGCAGTTCATATACTATAGACGAACTCTAAATTTGACTACTGAACTCTAAATTTGATTACTTCTGAAAATAATAAGTAAAATATTAACCATCAGATTAACGGAAATCTTGGTTTAAAAACAAACATTTTTCCACTCGTTTTGACCGTATCACCTTCATACTCTCTCCACCATTCTTCAAACAAATCGTTTTCTTTAGTTTTCTTTGATTTTTGTTCATTTTTCATTTCTTCCTTCGCTGAACCTTTGTTCCTTTTTTCTTTCCTGAAATTCGAAGATTTTAAGGTGAAGTTACATAAATTCTTCTTCTATAAAACAGTTTTCTTTTATTTTAATAGTATAATCCGCTATTTAAGATAAACCTACAACTTTCTGAGATGCATTTTTAATTTGTGTCCAAGAAAAACTTTTGGAGTCTTGAGTAATATAGGCAATGATCTTTCTTCAATTTGTTTATCAATCATAGTATATTGTTTTCCTCAAATTCGAAAGCCTCCAACTTCTTGTTTTCTGGAAAGGTGATGAGTATTTCAAAACCAGCATTTTGCGATTGTAAGATCCTTGTTCTTGCTTGCAACAGTTTTTTATTTATTTCCATTACTAGCAGTTTTCTTTTTCGTTTTCTCATGTAAACAAAAAGAAAACATCTCAACTAATTAGAGATCTATGCAACTTACAATGTCAAGCTCCAAGATGAAAAGCCTCTTGAAAGGCCTCCGATACATTTCTCAAGTATTTGGTAATCAACTCCTTCCTCTCTTAAAGTTTATTGTTGAATCATAAATTATGGATAGACTAGACTATATATCACGTCGAAAAAGTTTGCAAGCATGATGATAATCGTACAATGGCATAATAGGTATATATTCAACTAGTACTCTTGTTTTTTTCGTGTGGTGTAGAAAGTGGAAAAGAAGAAGAGATAGAGATAGGGAATCCAACGGACGTAAAGCATGTTGCCCATATTGGTTGGGACGGACCATCCGCTACTCCTGCCTCTGCACCAAGCTGGGTACATATTTTATTTACCTATAATGCATGCCTAGATAGGAGTATTTTGTTTTGTTTAATGTGTATTTATATGTTAATTGAAAGATGAACGAGTTTAAAAATGGTGGAGGATTCGAATCTGGACATGGAGGCGGAGAAGATGATTCCTCCGTGAGATGTATGTCGGAAAGTGGCGGTCGGACTAGAGATTTACCAAAACTACCAAAATCTACGAGGAAAGCGGCTTCCGAGAAAGGTTCTCCGACAAGGGAAATATCATCAGAAAAAAGTAAACGCAGGTCTTCGAAAAAAGGAACAACATCAAGAAGACCAAAGGAAGTGTCTGAAATAAACGAGCGTTCTTCGTTACATGAAGCTCCGAAGAAATCGAGGAGGAAGAAGAAAACAAAAGAATCTGGCGGATCAACTAGATCGATAAGATCAGACGTGGATAACATGTCGGATTATATGTCTGAGACTGGTTCTGTGAGATCTATGCCTCAGTTTGACAACAGAGATGATTTCTAAAAAGAGAGACGGACGGAATGAAGTCTTTCACTGAACATACCAATATATACTAGGGTTTTAGTTTCAATTCATGTACTATTAAGTATTAACACTAGATTTTGACCCGCGCTTTTCAAGCGGGGAAAATTTGTGTGATTAAAAATTTATATAATTGAGTTTTGTTTTTATTTAAATTATGTTTTGGTATATAATCAGTAATCCAAAATTTGTGGTGGTGATTGTTTTGCATTAGTTTTTAGTTTCAGTTTTTATTTTCAGATTTGGTTTTAAGCTGTAAAACACTATTATACAAAATCGATTCCAGAGCTAATAATTGCGTTTGCAACCTGACCTGAGCTAATTGCGTTTTGGAATCGATTTGGGAGACGCCAAAGTATGAGTGAGAGAGAGAGAGAGAAAGACGAGAGTGACGAAGAACATAGAGAGAGAGAGAGAAACCAGAGAGAGATAGAAAAAGAAGAGAAAGAGAGAGTGACGAAGAACAGAGACAACGATAGAAAAAAAGAGAGAGAAGAAGCAAAAACAGAGTAAGAGAGACCAATTTGATTGAGACAAAGGCTGGTAATATGGAGGAGTTCAACCTTGAGATAGTTTGATGGCTGGTAGTACACATGAGAAAAACTAACTGAAACTTAAAATAGTCGCTAGCTAGTGAATTATTTGGAGATTAAAAACGAGACGTATCCTATTTACAGAGGGGAAGGAAGCATACTATCATTTTTACAATCTCTATCAGGAGACTCAAATGATAGTATGCTTCCTTAAAAACGAGACGTGCCTAGTGAGTCTCCTGATAGAGCTTAACTATGGTATTATTGACGAAAGAAGAACATTTACAATCTCAACACGATAACTAGGCCATGGCATTTTGGATATCGGTTCTGTTTAGTTCGGGTATTTCAGATAATTAGGATAAGGGGGTTTGGGGATCCTTTTATTACTTGGCTTATTTTGGTTTGGGTTTGATTCAGATATTTTTGGATTTGGTTTGGTTAGGATAGTAAAACTAGGGACCGGAAAATATCCGGAAAAAAATTCAGTTCTCATTTGGTGCCGGTTCATTATTTCAGGTAGTTCGGATTAAATATTGGAGATTATGGGTAAAATATCGAATAACTAGTATAAGTAGATATAATTTCAGATATTTCAGACTACTTTATATATTTTGGATAAAAAATATTTGGATACTTTCAGTTTCAGAGAGATCCAAAAACAAACAGAGAAAACTTTAGCTTCATCCCGGCGAACAAAGGAAAATACCCGAGTCATCCAGATGCTCAGAAAACATACATTCATCGTCATCCAGTGTATCATCGGAAATATCGACAATGGAGGAAGTGGGGGCCGACCCGTTTCCACTTCCAGTCGAAAGGAAACCCTCAGGTCAATTGATCAATCACCGTTTGATCACCCGACGCAGGCTGTTGCGTTGGATCTTGGCTTGAGGTTTGCTCCTTCTCAGGAGCGAATTCTTCGTCTAAAAATGAGGGAAGACCAATATTAAGAAGTCCCATGCTCTGGCAAAGAAGTTTTGGATCAACAATAGCATATCGAGGTCAGACGAAACGACCAATAGAAAAGAATGAGGAGTGAAAGAGCCATAACGAGGGACTGAAAACGAAGGTAGTCTCACAAAAGAACACCAAATATATCCTTCCAATACCACAGAGACTTAGACTGCAGAAACTTGAGCTTTTCCAAAGATCGGGTAAAGCGTAGACAACCAAAGCCAACTCTCTCTGCACCAAAAAAAAAGAAAACGAACATCAGAAATGGATATGCATAAGAATAAGAAATGTTATCTCTGCCCGGCCATGCACTCTACCCCTGATACTGGGAGAACCACTCTGGACCAAACTGGAATCTCTCCCCGAGGACCAATCGATTCCCCTGAGAAAAGGACACGTTGTGGATCTTAGAGATAGTCTGACTAGGACGAAGTAACTATCCCAAAGAAATCAGTGTCGATCCGCCACCGACACCAGCAGCCGTTCATGAGTCTAACCGAGGAAGGAGGAAGTTGAGAAAACGCCAGACGGTGGGAACATCAATATAGAACGAGAATAGTGGGGGGGGGGGTGGGAACCAATCATGTCCACCGTGAAATGAGATTCATATAGACAGATAAATCCGAGCGCAGAATTCCATGGTCGATCAGATGGCTTTGGGATCCGGAAATTGATGTTTGCACGCGCCGGACAATCATGGAATAGTTGATTGTGGGATTACCAATATTTATGAATTATTACTTATATGATGTTTTCTACATATTATGAAATTATAAAATAACATATATATTTTGAATAATTGAGAAGTTAGTAAATATTTGATACAGCTTGGAAATCAGACTATACAGATGAAGGATCGGAGGTTCATGAGGGGTGGTTCAGGTACACTGGGAAGGGCTTGTGGGGGCGAGGGTGAGGGCTATGATTTGTACCTGAAAAAAATGAAACGATTTTTATGGTTTACAAATGATGAGTAGAGGGTACAGTATGTGAGAAATGATAAAAAATAAAAAGGAATGATTTTTATGGGTTTTTAGATTTAAAAGAACTAATGAAACAAGATGATAAATGATATGAATCAAAAGCTAACAAAAGGATCAAGATAGATGATTGATATGAAAGATGAACAATGAAACAAGATAAATAAACAGAGGATAGGATGGAATCAGGCTGCTGGACGTGTGTCTTTCTTAGCCTGATCAAGAGATGATCGAAGTGAAATGAGATGGAGCAAAGCTTGCTGGATGTGTATCACTCTAAAGCTTAGAAAAAATTAGTGGGATGCAAGGGTGGATGGATTGAGGACGCCACAAGACTCTATGGACAGTAGCCTTGATAAGTCAAGATGCTCTGAAGCTGCTTCTCACAAACTCTAAAACTTGAGATAATAGTTTTAAGAAAACTAGAAAACTGAATAATACTTTCAAGATGGGAAAAAGGGTGGTTTACAATGAAACAAAGACTGGAGCTTTATAGGCTCGACAAGACAGAATCTAGCATTCATAAAACGATAAAAGGGAAGAGAATAATTTGAAACAAAAGTCTTGGAAGCAAAGTCTTTGAAGGCTCCATAGAATATTTCCTTTAGCTTGATTTATGCCTTCTTCCAAAAGAATTAATGGAGTCTTGTATCTGGATAATTTCTGGATGTGATCATGATATCCAAGCCTTCCTGAAATACTCCTTGGATTTAAGAAAAGTGAATATGACCGTTGGTCTTGGGAAAATATCTTCAATATCTTATTCAAGGCATTTTGTGTAAATGTTGTCCAATGAGGAAGATTGATGGAGAAAGAGATCTGCCTGATATCCTGGGTGCTGGTGCATCTGAGGACATCATGGATACCTTCTGAATGGTATAGAGTATCTCCTGGCTTCCATAGAAAGTTTTGGGTCGGACCAAATCGAATTGGTGTAAGACTCTCCTTAATTGATGTCGGTTTGGCCAATTGCTGCAAACCGGGTTCATCTTCTAGTCTGATTGGGATCCGCCTGATCCTGTGTATTCTGGTGCTCCTTAGGATATTTTGGAGTGCCTATGAATAACTTAGAAGGTCTCTTGGTCGTCTTTATTTAGATTGTAGTGAGGCAAAACCCGGATCTTCCAAATAATATAAGTGTAGAGCTGGTTTGGCCGGTTTACGGAAATTGATCATAAATTCTGGTTTACTCGACTATTTCTCGTGATCTTTGGCTTTCTGAAAATCCGAAAAACTCCTCTTGACTTCTATGATCGGTTTTGACTTGGTCCGTTCCTTCTTTGGGCCTGAAACTTCCTCTAAAGTCGGATGATGCTCGTAGACGAATGAGATAGAAAACCTCTGAATTGTAAAATTCATAACTCCTCGGTCCATGAAAAGTTTCTTGAAATTTTAATCGAGATAGACTTCGTCTTGAGTGTAGAGTCGAGGAAAATTGGTTTCATGATTAAAACCCTCCTGGTTTATACGATATGACATTTTTAGTGCACATATGTTCTGCTCGGCGCCTTGGTTGGGTGAGTAAGGTGTTGGATGGACCTCCGGTTCAGCTTCTGGTTTTAGGGCCGCATCTATATTACATATATATAATTAAATTGGCACACACATAAAAATTAAATAACCACTCTTGTTTATCAATGATCATTTTATGGTAAATAAATCAAAATAATCAATTTTATCTATCGTATTTAACATATAATTAAATTTAAACGATATTAATGTATATAATATATTTTTAATATGAATATTTATTAAATGAAGTTTCTAATTATATGGTTGAATGATTTTCAGCATCTTTACATAACAAAATTTTAAACCATTGATATTTTTTTTAGTGTGGGATATTTACTATTTTTAGTACTTTATAATCATTTTTAAAATTCAATACAAATTTCAGAAGTAAAATAATAATTTACCAATATTTATTCAATGCAAGTATCAAAATGTAAGTATGTATTTTTATATGGTATATAGTGTAATTTAAATAAAGGTGTACCAATTTCAATCAAATGCAAAAATAATTCAAAGGATAGTGAAATTGTAAACATCCGCTCTTGACCAAACAAAAAAACAATATTCCAGTTTACCACTATAACTTTGCGAGTAAGACGACTTTCACGGAAGTCTTATGTTGTAAATATTAAAAATAATTTAAAGTTTTATAAAAAAATATTTTGATTGGGAAAAAAATATTAATCATGTAATTATAGAGTTTGGTAATAGATTTACTAAAATTGAATAGGTTTTAACAAAGATGAGTGAATGTAAGTTGAGTCATGATATCACTACAAGAAATTTTTTTTTTACTAGGGCTATATACGTGGTTAATTCGTTGTAATGGTCCTATTACGACGAGTTAACATGGAAACACGTTTCGTCGTTAATCGCTTGTGATAATGGACTTTTCGTCGTAAAGTCCACGTAATGTTACGAGGAACAAGGGTCATTGTAAAAGACAAGTAGAAAGGTTCATCTTAACCTCAACATTAACTTCCTTCGTAAACTCCTCGTT